GGACACCACTTGTCACCGGTCTCCATCCGGACATTGTGCCGTTGACCACTACCCTCTGGACACGACCATCCAGCCAGTTCCTTATCCACCGAACAGTGCACCCATCAAATCCATAGCTCTCCAATTTAGAGAGAAGGATGTTGGGGGCGACCATGTCAAAGGCTTTGCAGAAGTCCAGAGAGATGACGTCCATTGGTTTTCCTTTGTCCACTGTTGTCACACCATCATCGAAAGTCACTAGGTTCGTCAGGCAGGACTTGCCCTTGGTGAAGCAAAGCGGCCAGACCGGGGCATACGCCTTATGTTATCTCCCTCCCATACGCCCAGTGCCTCAGTTTCCCCACCGAGACCTGATGTAGTGCCCAAAGCCTCAGGGAACGCTTCGTTATTTTCACTACATAATTAACCCACACAAACTCTTACCAGGGTTTGACATATGCTGCTGACCGTGGCCGAGAGCCTGCGTTGGTCTTGGCCACCGTGTTTCTCCTCCTTCTCCTTCTCCTCCTCCTCCTCCTCCTCCTCCTTCTTCTCCTCTCCTCCTCAGAAGGTCGATGTGTGCTCACGTGCTCGAGATGCGGCGCTGAGGCGCCCTCCTTCCTGGCACAGCCCTGGCGCTTGGTGGTGCAGAACTGCACGGACAAATTGTCGTCTCCCATGGACAGTCGACCACGTCCCTTTCAGGCCGCTCCAGCCTTAGTTTTTCAGGAGAAACTTTAAAATACGCATCGGTGTCTCCGCGCCGTAGCACTGCATCATCCTGTGCCCCGTCCCGCTCACGTGGGCTGCGCCCTCTTCCAGGAAAGGCAGAAGACACCTGCGTCACCCAGCCACGTCCTGCGGCCTTCAGCAAAGGTGGGAGCGCGTGGTATTTGTTTGGCAGTGTGCCCAGGTGGCCAAGAAGGCCAATGGCATCCTGGCTTGTATCAGGAATAGCGTGGCCAGCAGGAGCAGGGCAGTGACCGTGCCCCTGTACTCCGTGCTGGTGAGGCCGCCCCTCGAATGCTGGGTTCAGTTTTGGGCCCCTCACTGCAGGAAAGACGTTGCGTTGCTGGAACATGTCCAGAGGAGAGCACCAAAGCTGGGGAGGGGTCTGGAGCACAAGGCTTACGAGGAGCGGCTGGGGGAGCTGGGGTTGTTTAGTCTGGAGAAGAGGAGGCTGAGGGGAGACCTGATCGCCCTCT